ATTGGAGAGCCTGGCTCCTCCAGAGCTTGCAGAGGGCCTGCTCGCCAGGGCCTGGGCACAGGGACACACTGCCCACCAGGGCAGAACCATTCCAAAGCCCTCACCAGCCGGCCCTCAAAGCCCCCTTTCACGGGCTTGCTCCACACCCCACTGGGGAGCCGGACAAAACTGCTAGTGTGGAGAGTATTTTTCTATTTCCAGATGGATCTGTGTCGCTGGCTCTATCCAGGGCCTCCATCACTGTGAGGGGCAGAACAGGGCCCAGTGCCAGGTTACTATAAGGAGCAGCGAGAAAGCCACACCCTGCACTGTGGCTCTTCACCAGGTTCCTGGGGCCCCAGGGCAGCTTCTGCGGGCAGCGAGGCCTGCCACGAGAACCCTGCCCCCCAAGGAAGTACTTGAACATCTCATTTTGTGCTGAGAGCCAGAGTGGGGTTTTCAGGTAATCTGAGGAGCTGAGTTGGGCTTTCTGTTCATATTGAGGTGGGGTGGTGGTGGTGGTGGTGAATTCTATGCTCTTCTTAGCCAGCATTTACTGAGCACTGACTACTGTCAGCTGATTGCTGTATCCCAAGGATCCAGATTCCTACTGGAATAGATGAGAGATAGGGACCTATTCAGTAATCACATAAATAAATAGATACACGATTGTTGATAAGATGCTATGGGAAAGAAAGCCCAGTTATAGATAATCTCAAAGGTGTTATTTTTTTCTTTTTAGCAGTCCTGAGATTTGAACTCAGGGACTTGTGCCTACTAGGCAGGTGTTGTGCAACTCAAGTAAGCTCTTTTGCTTTTATTTATTTCTAAGATAGAGTCTCAGCTGGGCACTGGTGGCTCATGCCTGTAATCCTAGCTTCTCAGGAGGCTGAAAGCTGAGGATCACAGTTCAAAGCCAGCCCAAGCAGGAAAGTCCAGAGACTCTTATCTCCAATTAACTACCAGAAAACCGGAAGTAGAGCTGTGGCTCAAGTGATAGAATGCTAGCCTTGAGCTGAGATGAAGGCCAGTACCCAAGCCCAAAGTTCAAGCCCCACAATTGAAAAAAAAAAATAATCTCATAAATTTTTCCCAGGGATATCCTCCTTGATCCTCCTACCCACCTTTCCTGGGTAGCTGGGATTAACGGTGTGAGCCACTACTCCTAGCTGCTGTGTGATTTTGTTTTTTAATCATAGAATTTACTTGCCTCATTTTTCAAAAAATAAAAAGTTGACAGGATAGTGATTTTCTCCCACACCGGACACCAAAACAGAGCTGTTTGCACAGATGCATTTCACCAGGTCATGGCAGAGCAAGATAGAGACAGTGGTGAGATTCTGGCAGTCTTGCCTTGATCTTGAGGGACTATGTAGGAATGAGGTTATGTGTAAATCACTGATTACACCGATGGAAGGGCAGGAACAAGCTGTGTCCAACAATCCTGAAATCTGATGGTGGAAATTAGACTCAATTACTAGGACCAAAAGATCTGATCTAGAAGTAAAGCAGAAATGTGCTTTTCTTAGTCTCTGCCTGGACCCTGGGACACCAAGGCCCAGGCAGGGCATAAACAGATATGGACAAGCCACTGTCAGCTAGAGGGACAGCCTGGACTACAGAGGTGGAGGCCATCCAGGGACTGGTCAAAATACAGGGGAATAGGACTCAAAATCCCCGTGCCAGTGGGGAGTCAGGAGCATCATCTGCCTGCCAAGGATCTGGGATCCAGTGGGAAGTGAGTGTCTGTGGTATGGTGTGTGGCCTCTGGGGGGCGCGCTAGAGGGAGATGTCAGCTCCTGCAGGGAAAGAGGGTCCCAGAATGGAAGGGTTAGACTGGAAGATGAGCACCAGAAGTGGGTAGGCAGGGTGGCACCAGTAGAACCCGGTGCCCCGGCAGAAACTTGAAGAGAAAGTTCTCTGACTTGGTGAGGGGATTGGACACAAATCTAAAGCCAAATGAGGCCTACCAGTGTCAGGACACTTAGAAAGCAGGCAGGAAGGGTCAACTACAAGAACATTTGATGCTCCTGGACAAGAAGGGGGGGGGGGGGGAGGGAGCTTGTAAACAATGCCGCCGCCACCACTACTGATAGTAATGGAAATGATTGGAATGAACTTGCTCAGTGGATATGTTCCAAGTAGGGAATCTCATGGGAACCAGCCGGGGCTTCAAAACACCCCGGACTAGGGACACTGGGCAGCCTGCCCTCTAGCCTGGAGGAGTAGAGACAGAAATGTGTGGCTAGACTCACCCTACTGGCCAGAGCATAGAAGATGAAACTAGAAAGAAGTGGTAGTTTTAGGAAGGCAGCCATTGCCACAATGCATGCCTCCTCTCCTGCCCTCTGATTGGCCAGTGGCTCCCTTAGACCAAGAGGTCAAGGGGCAAAGGAGCTAAGGTGAGATAGTCCTGCCTGGAGAGTATGGGGTGCACGGTGGGGTAAGAGGGGTAGAAGGTGGACAGGGCAGGGTGTGATGGTTGATTTTTATGTGCCCACTTGATTGCGGTGCCCAGATTATGAGTTATTTCTAGGTGGACCGTAAAGGTATTTCCAGATGAGAGTTGCATCTGAATTGGTGGGATCTCTAAAGTAGATCACCCCCTCTTACCTGTGTGGGCCAGGGTCATCCAGTACTACTGAAGGGCCAAATAAAATCAAAGAGGGAGGGAAGAGGGATTTGTATTCACCTCCTCTAAGTTTTCTGTCTCACTGTTTAAATGGACTCTCATTTTATAGTCTCCTGCCCTTCAACTCAATATGCACGGTCTGCTCTTCTCATTCTTAGGCTTTTAGAGGGCATTGTCAAAAAAGTTTTATGCAATACATGACCACACACACACACACACACACACACACACACACACACACAACCATACACACAACCACACACTCATTCTCTCTCTCTCTCTCTCTCTCTCTCTCTCTCTCTCTCACACACACACACACACACACACACACACACATGTATTGGCTCTCTTTCTCTGGAAACCCTAAATACATGAGGCCACTGAGGGGATAGAGAAAAGCCAGAAGAGATCTTTCAATTGGTTGCTCAAATGTGTTTCCCAGGTGGCTACAAGCCACACTATTCTCAGTTGTGTCCCAACCTACTGGGTGTGTGCACATGCTCCTGGCTGCCCCCCAGGAGGCATTCAAGCTGTGACACCCCCCCCCCCCAAAAGAGATGAGCTTAGAGGTGCCTTTCTAGCATCCTCAGCTTCCTGACCCTCAGGGAGGAAAGAGTTAATGAACTGAAGAGTCACTCACTCGACATGTATAGAGCCCCATGTCATGGCCCTGCTGGAGATCTGTAAGCTTTGTCTGGGATTGTCAACTCAGATCTGCTTTGCAACCCAATGGGGAAATGGGAATTCTTTTCATTGAATTAACATCTTCCAGGCATGGCCAGGATACAGCAACACGCATTGATTCCCTGGCTTGCTATTGTAATTGGGGGAGACAGAAAATAAACAAGGAAATCATATAGTCTAGTTTCATGAGCATTGTGAAGGCAAAGAAAAGCAGACGAGTGCATTGGACATGGAGGAGGAGAGCAGGAGACTGCCAGGGACATTGATCGCTGGGTAAAAGAGCAAGGACAGCTCACAGCTAGAGGGTGGTGTGGGTCATGGTGGCATCAAGGAAGGGATTGCTTCTACTTCAGGATATCAGAAGCCCCTGCTGAAGACCCCAGTACTCGAAAAAGTGCCCTCTCTCAGAACAGAGGCTGCACAGAGAGAAATCTAAAGATGCTATGTCAGCTTTAGTGACGGAGGAAGGGCCGTGAGCCAAGGGTGTATGGCGTCCAAGAGCCACAACAAAGGAGGGAACACATTCTCCCTGCTGATGCTTGATTTTAGTCCAGTGAAGCCCATTTTGGAAATCTCACCCCCAGAACTGCAAGAAGATAACTGCAGTGATCATTTGTTACTAGTACAAAAGCTTGGTGGTTGGCAAATGGGCTCGGCAGGGACCGTGGGCCAGAGAGCTTCTGCATCACCTCTGGGGCTTGAACTGGGGCTTGAACTCAAGGCCTGGGCACTGTCTGTCACTCAAGCATTCAAGTGCTCTACCACTGGGGCCACAACTCCATTTCTGGATTTGAGTGGTTAATTGGAGATAAGAGTCTCATGGGGGGGCTGGGAAGGTGGCTCAGTGGTAGAGCACTTGCCTTGTATGCCTGAGGCCCTGGGTTCAATTCCTCAGCACCACATAAGCAAAAAGAAAATAGCCGGAAGTGGCACTGTGGTTCCAGTGGTAGAGTGCTAGCCTTGAGTTGAAGAGCTGAGGGACAGCGCCCAGGCCCAGAGTTCAGGCCCCATGACTGGACCCCCACCCAAAAAAAAAAGAGTGTCATGGACTTTTCTTCCCTGGCTAGCTTTGAACTGTGATCCTTAACATTTCAGCCTCCCTAGTAGTGAGCGTTACAGGCCACCAGCACCCAGCCACATCATCACTCTTGACAGGAAGTCAAAGAGGTGGCGACCATGTTTTCTCAGTCACCACCTGGAGAGATGGGAAGCACAGGGAGGTGGATGCTGAGACAAAGACCTCCTGGAGAGGTGGGCAGGCGAGCAGCTACTCCAGTCTTTGTGGCGATGACACAGGGAGCTTCAGGGCTACTGATCCCCAGCTGAGGGTAGCAACATGGCCTGAGAAGGTTCCTGAAGAAGGGAATTATGAGCAGCCCTGGGGTAGAGCTGACTGGGGTTGGAGATTGGGGTTGGAGGGTTCAGACGTCCATACCTCCCTCTCCCCCTTCCCCATGCAGGACTGGACCCCCTAGTCTGGGGCCTGTGCACACGGCCAGGTACCCAGGATCCATGAACCTGGGAAAGGCTCCACCTGGTGGGCCTCCAGTCCGCAGCCTGCAGCCAGTCTGTCCTCACAGCCCTCCTTTCATGGCTCCACCAGATGAAGTCTCGCTAATTAGCAGCAGGCTCCACGAAGGGGCCTTCCATGGATGTAAACAGGGCAAGCGGGGAACAGAGTGAGCCAGTGTTCAGGGGCACCTACCTCGGAACCAGATACCCAGGCCTGCCCAGTTGCCTGCCTTCAGGGCCCAATCAAAGCTTTCTCCCCTCTGCAGCTGCAGCTGGGGAAGTGGGAGGAGGTCCCCAAGGAGCCAGCCAGGACAGAACAGGAGCAAAGTTGCCTCCAGTCCTGGGGGAGTTGCCTGGGGAGGCCAGGCATCAGCCCCTGTCCTGCCTTGGTGAGGAGAAGATATTCAGTAAGTGCCAGGCACGACGGCTCATACCTAGAATCCCAGCTACTTGGGAGCAGAATTAGGAGGATTATGGTTGGTGGCTAGCCTGAACAAAAGCAACAAAAAGTTAGCAAGAGTCTATTTTAATCAACAAGCCGGGCATGGTGGTGCCTGCCTGTAATCTCAGCTACATAGGATGCGTAGGTGAGAGACTCACAGTCTGAGGCTGGCCAGGAAAAAAGCCCTGGACCCTACCTAAGAAGTAAACCAAAGCAAAAAGAGCTGTAGGTGTGGCTCAAGGGGTCGAATGCCTGTCTAGAAAGTGCAAAGCTCTGAGTTCAAACCCCAGTATAATAGCAGGGGAAAAAAAGCTGCTTACTAAGTGTTGAGAAAAACACAGAAAGGCCAGGTGCCAGTGGCTCATGCCTGTAATCTTAGTTACTCAGGAGGCTGAGATCTGAGGATCACAATTTCAAAGCCAGACTGGGCAGAAAAGTCTGTGAGAGGGGCTGGGAAGGTGGCTCAGTGGTAGAGCGCTTGTTTTGCATGCATGAGGCCCTGGGTTCAATTCCTTGGCACCACATAAGCAAAAAAAAAAAAAGCCAGAAGTGGCGCTGTGGCTCAAATGGTAGAGCGCTAGCCTTGAGCTGAAGAGCTGAGGGACAGCGCCCAGGCCCAGAGTTCAGGCCCCACGACCAGACCCCCCCCCCAAAAAAAAAGAAAAAAAAGAAAAGTCTGTGAGACTCATCACCAATCAACCACCAGAAAACTCAAAAAAGGTGCTGTGGTTCACAGTGGTAGAACACTAGCCTTGCATGAAAAAGCTCAGGGATAGCACTCAGGCCTTGAGTTCAAGCCCCATGACCAACAACAACAAAAAGAAAGAGGAAAAACACGAGAGAGAGGGGGGGAGATGAAAGAAAAGAAAAAAGAAAGAAAAAGAAAGGAAGAAAAGATTTTCCATGTGATGTACAGCAAAGATGATTGAGATGACCTTGTTTCCAGGGTCTTGGGTTCAAACCTCAGTTCTGCCATTTACTCAGATGCTGTGGGTCATCTTTACTTCCTGAGCCTCAGTTCCCTTATCTGTAAAAAGAGGTCAATTATGCTCCCCCCAGAAGGGCTGGCAGAGGTGACGGTGGTCAGTGACACTTGTAAGTCCTCAGTGAGAGCCAATCCATGTAGCCTATCCTCACAGCAACATGAGTAGCAATGAACAGATGTGGGAACTGAGGCAATGGAGTGTGAGTAGCTTGCCCAAGGTCACCGTGTGTACCATGCACCACGAGGCAGACCCAGGCAATACACTATCTACTTATGCTGACTCCCAAAAGGTCCACGCTGCAGAAGGGGCTCTCCTGGAGGGCAGATCCTCCATCCATCAGGTTGGGGCAGGGCTGCTAACTCTGCCCTCCTGGTGCCCAGTGTGTGTCAGGTCCCTCGGCTGTCCACAGGCGTGATGCCTATAGCAGTGTCACTTTCGTTGGATCCTCTACTGAGATCTGAGGCCTCTGGAGCCAGACAGCCAGGAACTGAAGCCTGGCCCTTCCCATTTCCTGGCTTGGAGCCTCAGTTTCCCTAGCTGTGGCTGGGGGAGGGGATGAAAAAACCCATGGCTTTCTCACTGTGAGACAGGATGAGCAAGGCTAAGCCCAAAGCCTGCAGAATAGCCCAATCCATAGACCACTCTAGCTCCTTAGTCTGCAAATCTGACTGCGTTATATGATGTGCACATTTGTGAATCGTTTAAATGGTGCAGTATTCGCATGTAACGGACAGGTTTTCTCTCCCCCTCCCCCACTCAACCCGATGGAAATGCTATAGAAATAGCTGTGCTGTCTAGTTTAAGGAATCACAAAGAAAATCTGAAAATGTAAAGTGCACACAGGGTGTGTGTGTGTGTGTGTGTGTGTGTGTGTGTGTGTGTGTGTGTGTGGTTGTGTCATTATGTGTGTCATTATGCTGGTAGCGGGGTTTAAACTCAGGGCCTTGTACTTTTGTTCGGCTTGTTTGTTCATCCCTTGTGTTCTACTACTTAAGCCACATCTCTATTTCTGGCCTTTTGCTCCTTAATTGGAGATAAGAGTCTTTCCTGCTGGGGCTTAGCTTCAAACCACAATTGTCCTATCTCAGCCTCCTAATTAGCCAGAGTCACAGGCAGGAGCCACCAGCCCCGGGCTCTGTCACACAACAAGTTTTTAGAAACATTGCTGACCCCTCCATCAGTAGACCACACGGGCGCAACTCAAGGGTACAGAGGCCGGCTGAGCTTGGTAAGAGTGCGCGGGTGGATCATGAATCGTTCACTCACCTTGACCATTACCATTCAGGTTGTGCTTCTAACCGCAGCCTTGTTTCCCCCTTTGCTCTGGCTCGCAGGAACCAGGCTACGTACTCCCCCAGTCACAAAACAGTTAAGCAGGCTCTTTTTGGAGACAGGTAACTCGATTCCCATCTCCCAGGAGTCTAGGCAGAGGCCAAGGCCGAGACTGAGCTGGAAGGTGAGCTAGGGCCTGGGCTGTGTGCTCCCCAGCTCCACCGCCAGAACTTTCTTCTCCCGCCTCCAAGCAGCGGTCACAGATACAGTGAAACTAGATCATCCCCCAGAGGGGTGGGAGGGCGAGGCGAGGAGGAGTAACACAAGCTCCCTCAGATGATCTTCCCAGACAACACCCAATCTGCCCTCCGTTTCCCTAGAGGCTCAGAGAGGTTAAGGGCCAAGGCCAGTATCACACAGCTTATCAGCTTGGACTTTTTGAACCTGGTGGTCTTGGACTCTAGAGCTCTGTGGGACTATTGCCCTACCAGCCTAGGCTCAGCTCACTTCTTAGATGATCTGGTTCAGAGATGGAAGTTTCTAGAGCCTACTCTCAGGTCTTGGCCAGGAACCAGCACAGAACCTGGAGCCTTCAGGCCCCAGGATCATGTGGCCCCTGTTCCTTTGCCCATTGGCCGGGCCTCGTGGGGGTGGGAGGACAGCGGATGCTCACTCCAAGGAGGGAGGATGGCTAGAGGCAGGAGGGACAGCCTGGGTCCAAAACCACCTGGAGACGAGAGTTCCTGAGGGTATCTCCCAACCTCACCGCTCTCCCTGCCTCTCCGGGCCCCCTGGCTGTCTTCCCCCTGTTCTGCTTCGCTCTGTGGCTCTTCTGTCTTTCGATGCCCGTCTGTTTGGTCTGCGCCTCTTCATGCCTCCTTCGCTGTTTCACTCCACCCTGCCATGTTCTGAGATTCTGCTTCTCTCTCTTTCAGCTCACCTGACAAGAGGACTCCTAGGAGAATAACGAGGAAGCTGTGCCCCGGAGCAGGGAGTACAAGGCAGACCACGGGCTACTGCAAGAGGTCGAGGCCTGGCCCTAAAGCCTAGCATTGTGACTCACGCCTGTGATCCCAGCTACTCGAGATGTGGAGCTAGGAGAATCAAGGGCTGAGGCTGGTCCAGAGAAACGTGTGAGACCTTATCTGGAACACAAACGGAAAGCCTAAAGATTCTAGGAGAGGAATGCCTGCTTAGAAAGTGCCGAGCCTTGACTTCAAGCCCAGAACCATCAAAAGAAGATTCGCGGGTCCTTCGAAACACCCTGATCCTTGCTTCCCTCAGCCTTCCCACACAGGTGGAGCAGATGGCATCACTGCTGCTGCCGCTACGGAGGGCCTATGCGTGCGGGATGTGAGATGCCACAGCATGGGGGTGGCAACACGGCCCATTGTACAGATGAGGAAGCCAAGGCCAGAGAGGCGGACGTCGCCGGCCCTGACACCGCTGGGAGTCACCGGCAGAGGCTTGTGTCACGTGTGTGTCCTTCTACCCTCTGCCAGGGCCACTGCACTGGCCGGCCTAGACGCCTAGAAGACCAGCTGAGCCACGCCCCACCCGGTGCCAGGAAGGCCACAGGGAGGCCCTCAGCTGCTGGTCCTCTCCACAGTGGGTACGAGGCACTGGTGCACCGGCCCCCGGCCCCAGCTCAGCCCCTGACAGGAGGCACAAAGGCGGCCTCAGTGGCTCCCAGTGCTTCTGGCTTGGGGAGACGTGCTGGTGCCTTCTGCCCACAGGCTTGCCAACCAGGGTTTGGCAGGTCATCTTTGCCGGCTCTGTTTGAGGGTGACTGTCTTCTTCCAACAAGGAGCCACCCCCCCCCTTCCCCGGGTGGCCCACTCCAAACCCCAGTGAGTCACCCGGCTTCTCTCTGTGTGGCTCTTGGCGACCTTGAAGCCCACGGACCCAAGAGCCCACGCCGGGCGGGAACTTCAGGACAACCACTGGCTCCTAGAAATGGCAGAGGAGAATACAAGGCAGAACTGTCAACTGCCGTGGGAGAGAAAGCCCAGCCTGTATGCTCCAGCAAGGTGACCCAGGGGGGACCTTATCCCATCCCCCAGGGGCATTCAATGGGCCCCCGTGCCCCCATGGTGGTTGACAGCACACTCGTGGTGCGAGGGAGCACGTGGTACACACCACAGCCCAGCAAAGGCTTGGTTTTTCCATCTGGAAAATTCTGTGGGAAGAGGGGGGAAAATGGAGGATGAGGAGCCAAAGATGGCCCCGACTCATGGCCCAGTTCTGGAATGTAAATCGTTTCCCTCCGCAGGGAGCTGGGGGGAGAGGGGGAGACTCAGGCTCATAGAAGCTGGGGCCCCTGGGGACAGCTGTGTCAGGCCAGGATGGTAATGTGACCTTTTGTCCTCAGCCCAGAGCTCCGGTCATCATGCCTTTTGCCTCCCTCAGCCATGGCCACCTCTGCCCGTGGCTCCAGTGGAATGTGTGTGTTCTGGAGTTTTCTGAGTGTGTTCGAGTTGAAGATCGTTAAGGCACAGATGGGTAGTTTTACTCCTAGGTGTCCCAAGCTGGGCTTTAAACCTCTGAGGGGTTACCATGCTCTTCAGAAGCTGGCAGGAGCTGAGCGCTAGTGATAGGGGCTGTTGTCACGGTGTCCTTAGTGTGCCAGGACTCAGGTAGGTTCTAAGGTCCCTCGAGCAGGAACTCCTCATGCCAGGAGTTAAAGTATTGTTGACCTGAAGTATTGTTGACCCCATTTTGCTGGCAAGCGGAGGTCACTTCTCACCATGAGAAATTATGTAGCCTGGCTCAGAACTCAGCAGTCTGGTTCCTGAGTCTAAGCCTTGAAGGTATTCATGTGGCCTCCTCTGTGTCTGGCACCATCCTGGGAAACGGGGAGCCAATGATGGAGAAATAGACAAGGGCTCCGATCTCAGGAAACCTGTCATCCTTCCTTCTCTCATCCATCCATTCATTATCTATCCATTATCTACCCAATTATCTGTCAACCAATCACCCATCCATCCATCATCCTTTTTCCCTTTCATCATCCACCAACCCATCCATCCACCATCTGCCAACGTATCATCCACCCATCCACTAATCCAAACCATCCACCATCTATCAACATGTCATACATCTATTCATGATCCATCCATCTACCCATCCATCATCCATCTACCATCCATTTATCCATCCATCATCCATCCATCTACTCATCTATCCATTCAATAACCTTCCATTCATCAATCTACCCATCTATCTTTCCCTCCTTCCATCCATATGTTTATCCATCCATCTATCCATTCATCTAGCTTCCATCCATCCACTCCCCTGTCATCTGGCCATCTGTATCTTGTTTTTACACACTATTGAAACCACCCCCCTACCCCCGCCAGCACAACGGATCCACCACCCATATTTGTGGAAGGAATGGAAGGATGTAGAGAAATCTGGGCCCTGGCCCACAGCTCTGGGGCTTTGCCCTTTCCCAGTCTCAGTGCAGTGTAGGGGATAAATGCCACTTGCCCACTTTATGGGATTTTTGGGAGGCTCTGCTAGCAAGTGGGAAAAGGCTCTGCAAACTGTAAAAGGTCTTTTAAACAAGTCAGCATCCAGCTCCTGAGCTGGTGTGCGGGACCCAAGCCCTGCAGAGCTGTGTCTCTTGCAAGCTTGGCTGGTGAGACCTGTCAGACACTTCCCTTGGACCTGCCAAGAGGCCCAGAAAGGAAAGGAAATGGAGACATTTAACGAGCATCTATGATGTGCCAAAGACCTTCACATACTGTAACCCTCTCTTCTCTTGTATAAATCAAAGAAATAGAAGCCCAGAGAGGGCCATCACCTGCCCAAGGTCACACAGCCAATGAGGAGGAGCAAGAGCCTGGGTCTAAACCGAGGTCTGTGAACCTGAAGCACGAGCTTATGACCGCACCCAATTCCCCCTCTCCTTCGACAGGATGTTGGTGACTTCCTGCTGTCCAAGTCCTCTGGAGTCCCCACCTTTCAAGGCTACCAGCAAGCTCCTGGCAGAGCCTTTTGAAAGTGTTTCCATTTAGTTTTTGCATTGAGATTTCCTTTTTCTTTCATTCGCAAAGAAAAGCCAATGTAAACGTCCCTTACCCACAGCTTAACCCCTTCCTGACCCAGCCAGCTTTCTGCTCAGTCATAGTGAGGGCACAGAAGGTCGCTGCTGCTGGTAACAGCTCCCTGCGGGCCATTTAGCAGACCCTCGCCACAGTTCACAGGGAGGTGTGTCTGTGCTGGGCTACCCCCTTAAAGGCACCCTGAGCCCCATTCTCCAGCCCCATGTGGCCCCCGACACAGAGGGAAGCCTTCCCCAGAAATCAGAAGCTCAGGGACTTTCTCTCCGATTGTCGATTGTCGCAGGCTAGGACACAAAGAAGACATGGCCACAACCCCCACTCCCAGGCCACCCACCAAGGGCCTGGCGCTCTTCTGGGCACCTCCGCAGCAACAACACCTTCTCTCTGAGCTGTCTCCCCAGGAGGGCCTGGCCTTAATGACCTCGTTTGACATATGGGAAAGCGGAGGCTCCCATAGCCAGTCACCTGCCCAGGCCACACAGCTGGCCAGAGGCAAACTGAGCCTTACCATGCAACCTTGGCTTACAACCGCTTTACGTACAGTACTAACCAGGATGGCATGGTCCAGAGGGAATGACTCTTCTGAGCATGTCCTTAGCCCTGGGGACCCTGATTCCCTAAGGAGCGTGGGGTAAGGGGGTGCGGAGAGGGAGCCGTGACAGTCCTGCTATTGCCAAGAGACCTTGAGCTGGGCATTCTAGTTTGGCTGTGTGAAGTGTCCATCTTTCTTATTCCTTCTCATTCCGTGTTTGAGAGGCCATTTGCAAAGTGGGAACTCAGAGCAGGAACACAGTGGGTACTGGTGAAATAGTACTGTACAGCTTTCTCTCCTTCCCACCCAGAGATCCCAGTACAAAGACCCTGGCTGGAGAGTTTAGGGACACTGGGTTTGGGGCCCAACAGAGGAGCTGCAAGCCCTGGGCTGTCCCCAGTGAA